CTGCGAACCTTGCCTTATGAAACCATGAGCTTTCTTCTATACTCAAACGAAATTAGTCAATATTTGTTTGTAATTTATAGCTACAAAATGATCCCGCATATGCATTTTGGGGAGAACTTCGAAGTCACTAAATAGGTCGCCGACTAGCGTCAGGGCTTGGGAAGTGCTGCCGCGCTGAATGTCTACACAAACGGGTCGAAGATAAAGAAAGATATAAGGTCGATATCAACAAAACCAATAAGCTGCCAGACTACTGCAGTATTTTCCAGGCGGAAGTATTGGCCATAAAGAGTGCGGCGGGGCTACAGAACAGCAACCTAGAAAAAAGCAGTTGAATCTCTATATCGATAAAGGCGCAACTATCGGATAGCACTTCCTAAAGAAGAAGTGTGGCGAAGTGAAGGGTAGCATCTGTGCTATGTTCCGGTACACACTGGCGTCACGGGCAACGAGGAGAGCGACAGGCTGGCCAAATATGAGGCTTTGTAGGAAACTATGCTGATAGAGTAAGTGCCGATTTTCCTCAAAGCGATTAAACGGGAGTTCGACCAGTCCATGAGCCGGCGGGTGCAGAAAGTGTGAACCAAACGCAAGGTTGAAAGGTGTCCAGGGTTATGTGTAGAGCGTATGACATAAACTCAAACAGTTTCTCCTATCCCTGAAGAGCGAAAACGCCGCAGGCAATTGATGGGGGTACTAACGGAACATTGCCTGCTGGCCTCGCACGACTTTAAACTGGCTTTGACTAATGGTAAGACCTGTTGGCTAAAAACGAAGTATATAAAAACCTTAGAAAATGTATGTATGAATAAAAAACACACAAATTCTTTCTTTCAGTGCAGCACACCTTACTAAGATTTGTAAAATTCCTCGGCGGATTAGCGCAATGTAGCAGTGGATTAAACCATTTACTTAGCTAGGCATTCGATTGTCGATGGGTTGAAAGTGGCAAGCAAATTTTGCTTGTAGGTTGTGACACAAATTATTTTGCATGCGCACGTGGAAGACAAGGCATATGGCACAATTTTTCTATAGCAAATTTTTACTTACAAGAATTTTGTGCCTCCTATATTCGAAATTAAGAGGATACGTGCTTATGTAATCATGAAAACTTATAAGCATTTATGAGTAACTCAATTGCAAAATATGCCAGATTCAACGAAATTTATAAAAAAATTATATGCGTAGCTGTATACATATGTTTGCAAGTATATAAACAGTAGTTATAGCGGTTAATATTATATAACATTAGCGATATGCCATTATCGTTGCTGCTTTATGAACTCACTTCAGGAAAAAAAAACGAAACGCATTACATTTATGTATTACTACCGACTGGCTGCATTGTAAGCCAGTAAAGGAGTAAGAAAAGCAATATATACACACACACATACATATGTACAATATTAAGCTATTTTGCACGTATCGAACGACCATGGATAGGTGTGGAGAAATAACCGGATCACAAAGAGTCAGTCAAGCTGGTAAACGAACAGAGGCGGGAAAACCTGCTTGCAACGTAAACCAGACATACATACATATATGTATGTATGTAGGTATGTAGCTGCCTTAGTGCTTCCTGCTTGGTTGCATGCCAGTCGGACGTCGTGTTGCACATTTGTTGCATGGATGTTAATATGCTGCATATGCAATCATACATATACATTCATACATATGTATGTATAAACGAGTAATAGGCAACTACAGCAAAATGTATTGAAATAGATAGCAAATTTCAAATGCGAAATTTGCAGTTTGCATGCAGATAGGCAATTGCGAAACAATGATTTTATTTTTAGTTTTTGTAGTAAGGAAATTTGCAAAGATAAGCAATGCATAGTAATTAAATGAAGGT